TAGGTCTAAAACAACCGAGATGTTGATGTTTACTAACTTGATTAACTCATTCGCTGCCAGCCGTTTCCTGATCGCTAACGGCCTTCGCTGCCAGCGTTTCTCACCGTTTTTACTGTTTTTTTAAGAGTCACAGAACGTTGCGCTCTAGGATGATGTCGACGCCAAAACAACCAAAACAAAGAGGAGACTCCATGCTGTAGTTCTTTTTTAAAACACAGAGCAGTTTTGTTTACCTGTTTTCCCGCTACGTTTCGTTTGCGGCTGCAAACTTCCTCAGGCTGACGCTGATGGTGGCCTCACTTCCTTCTCCGTTTATCCACGTGCAGCAGAGGACGTTGTCGCCCTCTGCTGCACGCTCTCCCCCCACTTTTATCCATCTTAAACGGAGAAGGAAGTGATGCCACAATCAGGGTCAGCCTGAGGAAGTTTGCCACCGCAAACGAAACGTAGCGGGAAAACAGGTAAACAAACTGCTCTGTGTTTTAAAAAAGAACTACAGCATGGAATTAGAGATACGCCACAGCAAGAACACACCTAAGATGTTCAAAGCGGAGACTCACCTCATACATCAGGAAGACGCCGCGCGTTTCGAGCGTTATCCGTTCTTTCGTAATCCGTTGTCGAATTGTGATCAGCAGACACTTTTCTGGTTCGATCCTCACTTTTTTTTACAGGAACGGCCCAAAACGATCTTCTAACACATGGATGTTCTGCTTCCTGATCACATGACGTGTGACGTATGCAGATGAAGATCGGCTTCAGGGCTGAGATGTTTGTTCTCTCAGCGCGGGGGCTCGTTCCGATGCTCAAACTGTAAAAAATGCAAATGACGACTAAGTCGTCATTGGCAGTGAATGAGTTAAATACGGCTTTGGCTTTGTTATTGTGATCTCCAAATTCACACTCATCTGTCAAAACAACTGTAAAGGCTGCTAGCATCCTGGGAAAAATAAAGTACAAAAAAGTCGTGTTCTGTTTTGTATCTTTAGCAAAACAATGTTAACCGTTATTTTTATGTGCATCCAATAAATGCAGTTAAGTCTGTGTTTATTTTTTGTAGCTGCTAGAGGATTAAGTTTTCTATAACGTTGTAACAGATTTGCAAAAAGACAAAATTGCATCGATATGTGACCATTTTTAAAACTTGCAGTCTGCTGATGTTAAGATGAATTCCTTCTAATATGCGATCACAGATTCGTTGTGTTTTCTTTGAAAGTGCCAGACGCTTTAGTGACTCAAACAGTTTTGAAGAAATGAAACAAAGACACGAAAAACTCTTTTTCTGCCACCCACAGATAAACTCTCCGCTTACAAAATCCGTTAAATCACTTTCCAGTTGTTCTTCAAACCCTTTTGAGTAGAAAACACGGATTTAATGAAAAAAACAGAAGTTTTAGATATGGACTTAAATTGAATAAACTAAAAACTTTAATATTTCAGACTGTTTTTCAGGTTTTGTGATCTCTCTGCGAGACTAAAATCATGTACAAAGGAATTTCCTAAATCTTTCGTATCTTTGCACCCGGCAGCGAGTGATATATGTGATGGTGTGAGATGAGAATGAAAACCAGCTCTGCTCTCTAAATTGTGTGATGAAGTCCACCTGCCTGTTCCTCTGTCTGCAGGAGCCGATCTGTTGGCTGAAGGTCACGTGTGAATCAAAAATCCATCTTTTTTGCTCTGAGCTGATGAGTTTACTTCTAAACCCGATGAAAAGGGTTAGGTGCCTGCATTTAGCTTCAGTACAGAGAAGGTGTATTCAAATGGTGCATCCCCCCCCCCCCCCCCCCAAAAAAAAAATTATAATTTGTATCTCTCCAGTTGGTGATAGATTTTGAACGTTTGAACGGGTCCTCTACCGAATGCCTTCTGCAAGTTAGGGATGAGGCCCTGCCCCAAGTGGAGGAGGGTCGGTGTTCCAGGGTCTTGGTAACGAACGAGGGAAAAATGGAGCAAGAAATCGATAGGCGGACTGGTGCTGCTTCTACAGTGATGCCAGCGTTGTACCGGTATGTCGTTGTGAAGCGAGAGCTGAGCCAGAAGGCGAAGCTCTCATGCAGTCGATCTAAGTTTCAACCAAGGGGGCATACTCTGCCTGCCACAAGTGACAGAAGTTGTAGTTGCCCCCTCTTCCACTAGGGGCTAAATCCAGAAAGGAGCAAGTTTCCACAGATGCCCATTCTAAAAATGCCAACTTCACAACAAAAATAAACATGTTTACAGCCTGGTACAATAAAACATGTCAGGTTTAATAAGTCAAGTTTACCGTCATGACAACTCCGAGGAGATGGATTGTTTTTGTGATTCATCCGTTTAGATGTGATTACCCTGCTAGAAAGACCAGCATAGACCAGCATGTTGTAGTTTGGTGCTCATATGCTGATACAGCATGCAATGCTAGTCCATTGCATGCTGTATCAGCATGCAATGGACTAGCATTGCATGCTGATACAGCATGCAATGGACTAGCATTGCATGCTGATACACCCAGCTCTGTTGG